AAAGGGAGAGCCAGTCCTGGCATTTGAGCTGATCACCTAAGTGAGGAATTTGGGCTCCCCCTTTACAGGAAAATCAGCTCTTAGATGGGATGCTTTGCCTTGTGAATGTCTCTGTCCTTTTTTGTTACCCTCTTCAGGGAGAGCTTACAGTGTTGACTTTGCAGCGGCTCCAAGTTTAGGCATTTCCGCCAGCCCCTTAATTTGGTAGCAATGAATAGGGGCAGTATTATCAGCACGGATATTCCGAGTTGCCTCCTTCCCGCATCAGTCCTGAACTGGAAATTTGGTGTGTGGAGATCCCATCATGTCACACTGACCGTGCAGTCGGTAGGTTTTGTGCAGGGGCCACATCTGAAAGAATGCAAATTGGTAACACAGAGGGTGTCGGTGTGGTTGCCTCTCACAGCTGCCCGAGAAATGGACTTTCAGAAAACTCAGCCCTGAAATACCCTTTTGCCATCTAACGCTGCATTTCCAAGTCTAATTCTTTGTTGCTATGCCAGTGATTGTTGGCATCAGCGGTAGTGGAACTGATCACAAAGTAAAATTGCCACGCTATTTAGGTCAGGTCAACCTAGCAAGTTTTGTTCCGTTGCTTAGAAAATACCTTTGACTGTCAAATACATTGTATAAATATTTAAGAAATGGTAAGGTGGTGAAACCACTTGTGCTAAAGTGAATGGATGAAAAAATCAGTTGATTCTTTTGTCTATATGAATTTTGATTAGGCTTTCCATGACACAGAATATATGTTTCTTCCATAGGTTGCCTGTCTCGTTCTGTACCATAGATGGATGTCACTATCTAAATAAGTGATTTTTAAAAGCTATTTTTCTTCTAATCCATGTAATTCAGCACGTGGTTCCATGTATTATTTATTGCCCACCATTCAAATTCTATACTGAGCACAGAAGTAACAGGAATATTTATTGTTACTATTTAATATTAATAAAGAATTGAACGAAATGTGAAATATATGCCCTGTAGAAAGTGACCACATCCTAATACCTATTTCTGTCAAATTAAGGAAAGACACTGAATTCCCTTTGAATTCAAAAGAATTAGAAAAGATGTAAATTAAGTACAGCGTTTTCTGAAGACTTCCAAATCCTCCCAGTCATATTTTATAATAACTTTTTAATACAGGTAGCACATTTTTTGTTAAATTGTGTGCCTTGTAATGCATCTGCCATGTGATTCTTTTAATCCACCACTTAAATGAGGCACAAATTGAGGCTTAGTACACCGTGGGGCCACCTTGTCCTCCCAAGAGGGTAGTTGATACTTTGTGGAACCCCAAAATGGTGTCCATAGAGTAAGACAGGTTAATACTTCTGTTTGGCTGATTGGAGATGAAATATTTTGCATCAGTTAAAAAATTCTGTCACCACTGGATCGTAGATTTTTACTATTCCCCTGCAAATCACATTTCAGAGAATGGAAATGAAGCATAAAGATTAACACTAGTTTACTGAATTGCAAGGTACGTATTTACGATTTTACATCACCATATATGCTAAGCAAAACACTTCTGTTAAACATAGTTACAGCTGTGAATATTCAGTGCAAATCAGGCCTGAAGGCCTCAAGTTGGATGCTTAGAAGAAAAGGACCATACACTTAATGATCAGCTGAAAATGTAATTTGCATGATTGACCCCATGTAAGAATCATATACATAGAGTGGCTATACAAGCAATATTGATGCAGCATTGAGGTGTTTTAATCTCATTTCTGTACGGGCAGATTTGGGTCATACCCAGTAGAAGATTTATGCACCTACCAATTAAGTACCTCAATGCTGAATTTTGTGTTGCATAGATCCTTTATAAAGCCCGTTCAGAGCCTATGCACTTGCAGAGTTGACAGTAAGGCCAGCCAGGTGACGAGGAGCTGCCCAAATCTGATCCCCGCACAGCCATCTGCCCTGGATCCAGCACCTGAAGTGCCTCCAGAGATTATGTGTGTATCTCAGCCGGTTGAAGAACTGATCACCAAGAGCTGACCCACTGTGAAGAAGGTGGCAGTAACCTTTTATATGATAACCTGAGGGAAGTCACCTCTTTGTAGTCACCGGGACAGATAGCATGGAGTGGATGCTCCTGTGGGGTGTTCTCACATTTTTTACATTACCCCTATGGCTGAGCCCCCGGGAGGCCCACACTTAGGAAGTAAAATGGAATCCAAAACCGTTTACATTTTGCAAACACTAAGCATCAGAAACCAGTTTCATAATGGAAAGTGTAGCGCAGTGTGAGCTGTGGGTTGGTTACCTGTGAGTGTTCTTGGGCAGAGGTGAGTGGGGATGGAGGAGAATGCAGCAAAATGCACTTTGCTGTGAGCTCAGCTCCACCTAAACTCTCCAAAGAGGCGTGATTGCTGGTGATCTGAAGGAAGACATAATTTAAGGTCTGGGCGAGGGAATTGCACGTCTGAGGTGCTGCACTGTTTTGGCTAACAGCGTGGTGGCGGAGTTTGTATTGGTGCTTCTGTTGCCCCCTTCCAGCTTTCATTTCCTCAGCTGAAGTTGTGCCAACAGGTGCTTCTAGCGTGGGACACCTGTACAGACTTTAATGCAGTTTTGAAGAAAGCTATTTATGAGTTTTAATTTTCCAGAGCATAAAAAAGTTCTATTTGTGATTTGTTTGGAAGAGTTGTAAGATACAAGCTGGAATTATGCAAAGTATAGCTGTATAATATGTGAGGCACAGAAACTAAGGCCATTTTAAAGCAATATGGCTTTAAGTATAAATATACCTACTAATGTATAGTGAAATAAGTTGCAAAATTTATAAATACTAATGAAAAAGTATGTATGATGCCAGATTAATAGGGATATTTTATTAGCTATGATGTTATAGATAAATAATCTGTTAAATATGTTAATACTTGCACAGGTGGTGTAATTTAAAGGAAGTTTTAAAGCCTGTAAAGTGAATATATAGCTTTCAAGCTGTAGATAGCTTTCAAGTGTATTTAATTCTAGCAATACAGGTTTTTTTCTTGCATTGCACTGTGTGGACAGGGATTCGTATAAAGTGATTAAAAAATGCTGTGAAGCAAATGCCAAACTTTTGAAAGGGCTGAAGCACCCATGAGGGCAATTCTGTTTCAGGGATACCCAGCAGTCCTGGGAGTCTCTCCTGTCTCTTGCACGATACACAGCTGGGTGTCAGGAGTAGGTGCTTCTATCCCTGCCTTTCAGTCTGGATTCTCACCTAATTAGAAAAGTGAGGCTTTTGCAGGGATATAAAACCCCTCATTAATTCTGCAAATCCTTGTTTGGCCAGTGTACTTAGAAAAATAATTTGGACCAAAATAAAAGCTTCTAATTCTGATTTTCTGTAAAACTAATGACAGCTTTCTCCAGTATCTTTAACTTGCTTTTACGCTAGTGACGTTTATGCCATTCACTTTCTTTTATACTAGTGAAGCTTATGCAGTGTATTTTCCTTTATAACTACCACGTTGTGAAGAGAAGCATATAGCAACATCTAATAAATTAGTAAGAAAACAAGAAATATGCTTTCCTTGGTGCTGGGGCAGATTTGGAAGAGGCAAATCTTCCCCCAGGCGCCTGCTGCACTGCTCCATGGGGTGGATAGCTGGAAATCTTGTGCCCTCTTGTGGTCAGCACACCGAGGGAAACGCCTGGCATATTCGGGCTGTGTAATCTATTAGGCCACAAACGGTAATGGATTAGAAAATATAACGAGCAAGGAAATTAAAAATCATCAGCTTGTTTAGATAAAGACAAAAATATCCATTGTTATATGTCCAAAGATAAGTCAAATAATAATTAGCCCCATTAGCACCAATTAACTCAGTAATACCTGCATCTTTAAATCTGCTTTAGTTAGACATAACATGTCCAAATTAAGTAACAGAAGAGGCCAAGAAAAAGTGATTTGATACAGCGTTAACATGCTAAGGCTGGCAATGTTGTTGAAAGGGAAAAATCTCATTTTGTAGTTCTGTAGTTTAAAAGGTCAACTTTAGCTGCATCTTCATTATGATAATAAATCGTCTTCAGTGGTAACACTAACAAGTTTTAAGTTGCGTTTGTGCCTGTGCTGAGTTGGAATATAGTAATTCTTAAATTTATTTTTCTATTACAGTGTATGATAAAAGGTGTATTCTAGGGGAGGGCTCAGTAGCACAGCCAGTTAGCAGAGGAAAAAAATTAAACAACCTTTAGCGGAGAAAAAATATTCAAACAACCTAGAAGTGAGACTCTGGCACTGTTGAAAGTATTCCTAGTTCTCATTCGTGCATATGATGATGGAAGGAAAGATCCCTGATAGAGAAAGCTTCAGGGTAAACACTTGTTTTACTGTGCTTAAGTGTACTGAACTTTCAGCATTTCTGTGAAATAGATCATGTCTGTTGAGCTATTTCAATTGGCAAACAGAAGCAGCAAGAGCCATTTCAGGCCCTTGAAGAAACAAAATATGCAAAGGCTGCATGACACCGAGAGGGCGAGCGTGTGCGGTAGGAGGGGAAAAGAGTGTGGTTTCTGGTCCTCTAACCAAAGGCAACTGCTCTGGTCTTCCCTTTTCCTCCCCTTCTTCATATCTGAATCAGTTCAGGATAATTCTCACAACAGTAAACAACAGTTTTTCAGTTCATTTCAGTGGATAGCTACATCAAGTCCTTATTTCCCCCCTATATGTTCCTTTGAAGGGTGGTTGCATACATTGAATTGAAGATGCCAACTGGAGGTGACCCTCTACCATGTGAACCACACGGGCAATGCTTTCCTGAATACTTACTCTATTTTATATGTCCCTTCAGAAAATAGCAGTGGAAAAAAATTACTAGAACAGGAGTGCAAGACTTGTAGGTCTTGTGTATGTTTGGTTGTAAATGATAATAGTAGCTTCCTTTGCTCGATTACTTGGGATGACTCCTACACTGAGCTCACTACTGGAATGAGCGTTGGGTGGAACAGCTGCTCCCAAATGTTTTTCACACTGTTGCTCTCCTTTGTCCCTTGTAGGTATGGAGAGTGCAATCACACTGTGGCAGTTCCTTTTGCAGTTGCTGCTGGACCAGAAGCACGAGCACCTGATTTGCTGGACATCTAACGATGGTGAATTCAAGCTACTCAAGGCAGAAGAAGTGGCTAAGCTGTGGGGACTCAGAAAAAACAAAACTAATATGAATTATGACAAGCTGAGCCGAGCGCTCAGATACTATTATGACAAGGTAAATTTTGTTATTCTCATGCAGACTAAGAAAATAGAAACCCTACTGTTTAACATTTCACCTCTATGTGGAAGCTATTCAAAAGTTCCTCTAAATAGTTTTTCCAACAGACAACAACAGTATTGAAGGCAATCACAGCGGAGGTAAGAGGGCAGCTAAGAGATGCACAGGAAAACACTGCAATTCCCATTTCCTGAGGAGGGGAGGTTTTGACCTAGGTTTACACTTACCAATGCTTTCCTGTGTTTATGTGCTTGGCTACCCAGTATTTTCTGTAGCTTTTGACAACAATAAAATAACTGTTAGTAACAGAGAAGTGTTTGATTATTACAGCCTGCACAGGATCTTCTGGCTTGCAGGGAAGTGGTAAAAAGCAGTGATACTGTAATGCGGCAGGCAGAGCGGCAGCTTTACCAGCAGGTATCACCTGTGTCAGAACAAGGACAAGACACACAAATAACCCAGCAGCACAGAGGGCAGGGCTGAGTTCTCACAGTGTTCTTGGGACACATCTTTTGGAGCATAGATCTTGTCAGACAGTATTTTAGCTAGTCTCGCCTGAGCTTTCTGGTAAATCTATTCTACAGTTTTATTGGGTCCTAATTTATTAGCTGGAAATACAATGCTGAAACACTTCTACAGTTATGACAGTGCAGTATTACCTCAGTAGGATCTCACTGTAATTATTCCTTTGTTAATGCTCAGTGTTTCTGAGTTTGGAAATCTTCCACTATGTCATTTTAGGACAAAATCTGTGTTAGCTTCAACAGCAGCATGGATTATATGTTGCTGTCATATAATTAGCAGCAGTATAAATCAGAGTGCACTAGCGTGATGTCTTGCTGGATGGAAGTGCAAAATAAGTAGCAGAGGGAAAATCAGCTGGTTAGACGGGTGTTGGAGCAGGGCTGTGTTTGGGTCTGTTGTCAAGGTGGTAGTTTCATGCTGAGCTCCTCTCAGGTGAAGACTGTGTTTGCTGTAGAATGTTAAGTTTACTCCCACTTGGGAACTTACCTTCTGGGTATCTCAAGTCAAAACAGTGGAACATGTCCTTTAGTAGGGGATTCTTCATCAGATTGCAAGACCTACTGAATTTTGCCCCTCCTTCACGATTACATCTGTTGAGGTTTGGTAGAACTGGTAAGACTCAAAGTGTCAGCACAGTTTAGGCAGCAACCCTGTAACTGGCAAGCTGTGGTTATTTGCACGCTCTCAGAAGCTGGTTACGGGCTGATAGCGTAGGTGTATGCATAGTGCAGAGCTGTTGGCTGTTGAGAGCTCCACTTTCAACCTCTTTATTTAAAACTGAAATCTGAAATAATAACATATTGAACATAGTAATCTGGAATTACTTAGATCACTCAATTTGCTTCTGATTTTCAGGCATCACGACCATGCCCACAATCTAGAAGAGGTCAGTAAGGGTTGCTGGTGGATAGCACCACTGAAAATAAAATTTCTGTGGTATAGTGAGAGTTTATAAGATCACTGCCACTCCTGTGAAACCGTCCTTCACGTTGTCATTCAGTCCTTGGTCTTATTCTTCAGCATGAAGCAAGGTGGCAATGGTATATCAGAGATGCAAAAATGAGAGCAAGAAGCAACCAGAATTTCTATTAGATTGCTATAACAGAAAGGTGTTTGAAGGAAATCTCTCAGCTGTGACAAGATATTAGAAGGAAAAAATTGCGGATCACAAATAAATACCTGTGCTAAAATACCTGGCATATTCGTCTTTCTCAGTTTTAGACTCTAGCAAGTTTGATGAGTTTCCAAATTGTTTCTCCAGTCTTTTTTGGATTAACATTATATTGTTTTTACTTATGACTATTAAATTATTTCACTATTAGTTTCCTTTAAACTGATATTTTAATAATATGTCTAAATTAACTGTTGTTACTATTTCCTATATTCTTGAAGATCAGTATTAAAAAGGACTCTCATAGATTCTGTCCATTAAAAAGCGAAATTTCATCACCACACTTACTGGTCTGTTCTGATTTTGATTTTCAGAAAAGGCAGTGAGATGAGATTATGCAGTGAGATGAGATTATGCAGTGAGTAACACCACAGTTATGGCATGCTTGTTGACTGCACGAGGCAGAGGAAACGAGATATTGTTGCTGAACTGAGCTCAGAATACTGTTGTCATGTATTATTTGTAGTGCACTAATTATTGAAGGGCATGGTGGGGCTGTGCTCTATGCAGCCAGTCTAACACAGCAATCACAACACAAGTTGACTGCACATTAACTGTGCACAGTTTGATGATCAGACTTTTTATTAGTCACGTTGGAATTCGGAAGGACTCCTCCTGTAGGAATTATTTAGTTTCAGATCTAGAGCTGTAAGTTCAGCAATGAAGTGTTTGTAGTATTTTGTCCACTTAACATCTTTCAAAGGTGGCCTGACTGCAAAGGCACAAAAGGACTGGGAGAGGACCATGCAGCGGCTGTTCCAAGCAGTTGGTGCCATGTGTTCCTCTTCACTGAGTGCTAAAAAGACTCCCTCTCAGCAGGGAGAAGCTCACGTCATTACATGACTCCAGCCCCTCTGATTACGAACCTGGCTGGGATCAATGGAGGCAGAGTGCCTGTTGGTGAATGAATAGCACAGCCAGGCAGAGCCCAAGCACACAGGGACTTGCTTGAAATCAAGGGATGAGATATTTGTAGCACTTGTTCTTTGAGACCTCTCTGATCTGTTCAAATCGATGGAAGGTAATGGCTTCTTACTTGAGGCTTCCTTTCCTCTTTTATCTCTTAACCATTTTTCTTACCTTGTGCTGTTTTCAGATGCCCCTCAAAGCACACACACCTTTGTCATCTGTTTTATCTCTGCTTATGCAGCATCTGCCATTTGGGTGGCTGTGCAGTCTCTTCACCAGGGCACTGGCTGAGGTAATTGCTCGCTGTTCTTACAGCTGCTTTTTTGGGCTGTCTGCAGATTTTATGTAGGTGTGGCATAAAGATTTTGGCTGGTTTTTTTTGGAGTTCTGCAGCCCAAAAGAGGTTGTAGCTCCTTGATGGAAAGAAGGATAAGGATACCCTTCCCCGTGTATTGTGATCAGGGTTTGAACCCCAAACTAAAACCACAGCTGTTACTATTTAAAGTGAAGGAGTAGCTCCTTTAGCAGAAGACAGTGGGAGGTTCTCACACTCTGTGTGAGTATGGCGTGTTGTGTCTCGTCAGTTCGCAGGCAGTGAAGAAAGGTGAATTATGAGGAGAGTGCAGAGAGACAGGGGAGCTGGCTGCAGGTTGTGAAGTGTGAGAGATACAGGCATAAGGTAGCAGATAAGGAATCCTAGCAGTATGGGAGGGAGTGCTCAGCAGTGGGTTCAGTCCTAAACACTTCCTCTGCCTTCAGTTCGGTCTCTGCTGCATAGCACAGAAAGGGATGAAGTCGAGGAGGGGAGGAAAGGCTCCTTGCCATTCCTCTTTCCCTTCTGCAAAACACAAGGAGAAGGGCTGGTGAGGTGAAAGAGCCTCTTGCAGACCTTTACACTTCTCTTTCATGGACCATTCACCACTTTGTGGGATAAACCAAGAGCAGCCTCAACCCTTAGGAAGCCTTAAGGAGCCTTGTGAGATCCTTGTCCCCTCCTTGCTGTTGGCAGCAATGGATGTGTTGGCAGCTGGATGTGCTTGGGCGAATGGGATGCACACTGGGCAAATGAGATAAATATTGTGCTGCAGGCTGGGCAGTGACAGCATGAAAGGCAAGGGGCAAAACTCTGGACAAGACTTTATTTGGATTGTGGAATTATCATCAGGGACTTCTTTACCCATAACCCAAATGATCTGGGATCAAGTGATCTAGAAACGTGAGTTTGAGGCAAAGGGCAGAGATTTTTTTAGAAAAGATGTGGGATGGGCCTTCCTTTCTTGGGCTGCCCTCTGTTGCTACTGCACACAGCTGACACTCATTGAGCTACTGCTTCATGGTTTGTCTTTGAGATTATTCACTGTGGAGAAATACAAACTGATCACTGGATAAATGGAGGTTTATGAGATCTGCCATTTTGCTTGGGGGAAACACTGCCTTGTTAAAATTCATCATCTGATTCATCTGAACTTAAAAGTAAATTAATTCCAGTACTGGAGAAAAATAACACAATTAGGACAAGTTCCTCAGCCTGGCTTTGAAAGCAAGCCTGACGTGCTGCTGAGGCTGATGGCTAGATTTATGTTAAGTTCACATATAAAGCACCCCAGGAAATGTAGTGTGGCATGTCTCGGTTGTAATTTGCTATCATGATTCTGGTTGCTAAAGGTTTATTGATAATCTGAAGACTTTCCATTTCCTGTTTCATTTGTTACCCAAATTCCCTTCCCCTCTTTTTATTTAATGTGTTTCCCCTGTTGCCTCAACAGAGCAGCAGAACAGATGACAGATAGCGCTGAGGAAAGGCATCCTGCACTCTTCATCTACAGCATAAGCAGCATGTCCATCATGTCACACACTTCTGCCGGTCAGAAATCTCTTGTAAAGCTTTCAGGCAAGGAAACCCTTTGCATCTGTTCCCATGCACAGCACTTCAGCTTGATATGTAGAACTAAGTAGGATTAGTAGGTTTTATTCTGTTGAAGTTGCCCAGTTTCTTTGTTTTTCTGATAGCTGTAATGACAGATACCTTTTGGAAGTCTCTAGATGTTTCAGGACTGCTAAAGGTCTCCATGAATATTTCAAGATGACACCACAAGAGGGAAGCTAATGAGTTTTCCCCATGAGGTTTCTTTTTTGAGGGAAGGAGTGCAAATACAGGAAGTTACATGCAGATAGTGACATTAATAGGATGAAACAGTTGTGGAAATCAAGCCTTCAGAAGTTAGGAAGTGCAAGAATCACAGTTACCTGGGTAACCTTAATGTTTGCATGAGCTATGCTGCATCTTTAGCTACACAGTTACATACCGTTGCGATGAGCAGCTATTCAGTATTTTTGCATCCTCTCTGAACAGTGTGCGGCCCCAGACTTTGCTCAGTGAGCGCTATTCAATCTGTCTTCTAAAGACAGAATAAATCATTTTCTATTCAGTTCATGGCTGCCTGCTTATTTAGATGTGTTGGCAGCATGATGTATAGCATATAAATAATACGGGCTTCGTTGGTGCAGTGCAGGGGACAGAGCTTCTCAGGTGCTTGTAGGATTCAGAGGTGCCCATGCCATTCTCTCCCCTCTCATAACAGTCAGATGCAGTAGTCTGGTTACTAGTACCTGTTTTTAATGCCCAAGTGTGGGTGGCAGCATGGAGGAATTGTTTCATGAAGAGGGTCCCTTGCTTATTCTGCTTACAGAACTTCAGGGTATAAAGTGATAGTGGAAACTATTATTTTATTTTTGGGAAGGTCTTCTCTTGAGTTACCCTGGGGGAAATAGAATATTACAAGGAAACGATAGTGGTATGGTGGTGCTAGAGCACCAGCTATCCGTTTTGTAGTGGTGCAGGTAAGAAGTGTTATAAGGAAATACTTGAAGGAGCATTAGAAAATAGCTTTAAAGAGAATTGGAAGGAGCTTCTTTCAAGAGTGATGTCTGGAAGTCAAGAATTTGCTTATCTGAAATGGCATAAAAGTGGTTAATGAGTGCTCATAGAAAGATGGAAAGATAGAAACAATTTGATAGTAAGAGGTGATGGGTAGAGGAGAAAACCCAAGAAGCGCCCTGAAAGGAGTGGCAAATAGCTCGTGTTTGATGTGAGAAAAAAGGACGCCTGTGAACTGCAGCAGAGAGAGCAGAGAGGCTGGCCAAAGGCGCCAGCCAGAGGGATGGCCTTTGCCTTCCAGATGGAGATGGGTGAGGAAAGACTGAAATCCAGCTAAGTGAGAGCCTCGTGCTTCCACAGGTCAGCCCAGGTGCACCTGTGCCTCCATCAAAAAATTTCACAAAATCTAGCTTCTACACACACAGTGTAATAAGCGTAAGTGCGTGAAGTACGATCTTAACAGCATCTGCTTGCCTGCACATGCTGATGTGGACACCCTCTCCCCCATTTTTTGGAGCAAACCATGCAGCCACAGGTACCTCCTGTCAGTTTTCGTACTTCCAGCATTAGAGTGTGAGCAGCCATCTCTCTGCGTAGGGTTCCCAGCAGCTGGAGGCAGTCTGACTTCCTAGTCATCATATCCTGTGAGGAATTCATAGCCTAAGAGTCTCCACATGTGCTGCATCCCTCGGTACTCTTGGAGCTAGGGAGCTTGCAACGCATCCAAATGGGAGTTAAGAGCAGCAGCTGGTCCTTCTCCTTCTTTCCCAGGCAGGGATGCTTAGTACCTACAGAGAAGTTCATCCTGTTCTCCTATAGATTTTGAGATATCAGACACCATGGTTATAGACCCACTGCTACTGCAGCCAGCAAACTTACTTGATAACAGGTTTGAGCCAAGCCGCCAAAATCCTTGTGTCACACCTGCAGTATAGCTACACCTTAGCTCTAAATAGCTCAAACAGGGAGTCAGAGCTGATGTAGATGGAACAGAAACACATGGCAGCAGAAGTGAAGTCTGAGTTGCACCAATACATAGGAAAACTTAGGGGTGGAGGAGAAAAAAATGGAAAGGAACTAGAGGTCGTGCTACTGAGATGGACAGACAGCTCCTGTGTGTTCAGAGAAGGCTTCCAAAAGTAGTAGTGCATAGGCATAGTTGACGCAAAAAAACCCCAGCCACATTATAGCCTGGTTTAAGCTGCAGGGGGAACCAGGCCACCGTGTCTTTGGCACCAAACTCAGCCAGCTGCTCTGTGGAGAAGGACAGGGGGAGATACCCATCCTTCCAACCAGTGTTTCAGAGCGCTTGGGTAAGGCTGGTTTTGGGTTGAGTGCCTGAAGTGATGTGATGTGAGCAAGCCTGAGCTCCCTGCAGGGCTGATGTGCTGGAGCAGACGTCGGGCAGTGCTGTGCCCAGTTCCTGTCGGCAGCTTTCCAAGCACTTTGGAATGGAGGGCAGTCACATTTGCAGTAGTTGCTGTTTGAGAGACTGTGGCCAGAGAAGGGGAAGTGTAAAGTGTCCAAGTGATGAAACCAGTCAAGAAGCCAACAGAAGAAGGGCATTCCCAGCTCCCTGCCCTCTTTCTAAATGTCAGAGAGTGCTGTCTCTTGATAAGATTTTTGTTGCTTTAAGCGGTTGGACTGGAGCCCCTGCTCTTGGCCGGGTTGCCCAGTTCCCCTCCCCAGCAGCTGCACTGGCCCAGCAGTCACCTTCCCCGGCAGCACAGTCCCAGAGCTCCCTGCAGCCCTGGCTGCCAGCCACCGGCACTTACTGCAAACCTGCCTATGAAGAAATTTACCTAGGAATGTAAAAAAACAACCCCCAAAAAGAGCTAAATGTGCACATATACTTACTGTCCTGCTACCACGACAGTGGTCTCCCTGCAAATGCGGTCCTTAATATTGGGAAGCTTGCTTTGCCCTTGCAAACTGAGGGTGGAAAAACCCCTGCTTGTCATGGTGCCCGTCACTGTCTTCTGTGGTTTGAGCCATCGTTCACAGCTCAGAATGATTCTGACAGCTCACCGAGGTGATCGTAAAAATAATCTGCTTTTTACCTTCACTTCAGTTGTTTGTCAAAAAAATTCAGAAGTGTCAGTGGCATTTTGGAGGCACATAATTAATTTGCATCCTCATTTTCTCTTACACGCTGATGGAGATTTCCTCGGGCTCCACATTTAAGAGAAGCCTGCGAAGTGCTTGGGGGATCTGCCCTTGAATCCTTTTCATCTCCCACCGTTGTTAAGTGGGCCTTTGCTGCAGGCTGATGGAGTCAGAGAGACCTTAAAATATAACTATATTTAATAGTAACAGAGGGAATATAAACTCACCAGCCTTCTCGGTTGCTTTTTATAGCAATGTTCCCCTGTTCCAAGCCTGCACCAGTGTAAAACTGTCACCCTTAAATACATTTAATCTTTTTCTGTGTTTTTCAAGTAGGATCTCCATTGCCAGTGCTTGATGTAATGATAACCCAAAACTGCCAGGAGCAGAAGGGAGGAAATACTTTAAGTTAAAAAATATGTATTTAAATAAAAGAAAACAAAATCCACTTGAGGTGTTTTGTTTCGTATGTGAGTAGATTGGAAGTTTTGCCTTTTTCAAGAAGAATGTAATACTGAAAGTGCAGAAGAAGTGCGTCCCTCCAACGTTTCACCTAATTAGCATACACACAAAAATCTAGGCCCAGCCCAAAGCCATGGGAATTAAAGCTCTGAGATCCTGTGGGCTAAGTAAATGTCCTGAACTTCTGGAGGGCAAAGACAGGCATTCCAAGATCCTCCAGGTGGGTAGATGTGTGTATGATTCGGCATTGAAGAAGGCAGTTTAGAGCCTTTAGTCTGAGCTTGCTGGATTTAATTCTCCTCTTTGCTACAGATCCCTGTTATCGACTTGGGAAGCAAATTTCTCCATTTGTGCCACAGCTTCTGACCTGTGAAGCAAAGCTGCATCCCAGGGCTCTTTGTAGGATTAATTTTGTATTCAGGAAGGTGCCTGAATGAAGTGCCAGGACACTCAGATTGATGAATTACAGACTGGAGTAGCTCAGCTGAATGACAGAAGTTCTGATACCCAAGTGCAGATTCCTCTTTCCGAAAGTCAGCCTTGCTTTTGTGACAAGAAAAGGTGTAGTGCAGGCACTGCAAGCACCCAGCACTAGGTACTGCCTGTATAGAAATAGAAATTTGCATTTCTTTTTCTTCCTTTTTTCCTGTTCCTTTTTAAATCAGTTTAGCAAATGTTTCCTCTGCTGGTCTCAGAATCTGTGGTAGACTGAAAAACAAATTAGATTTTTAGGAATATTATAAATATTTACATTCCCATATTTGCAGTAAAACAAATGTCTGTTTGCAGACTACCAAACATGTGATGCACTAAAGGAAAGCAGCTTGGAACAGGGTTTTCAGAGGTAACTTGCAGACAACTCTGCACCAGGGGCTTCAAGACGAGATAAATCACTGTGGAAATCTCAGGAAATACTGCTGCTTGCCTTCCACAGCACTTGGCTGAGGGTGGTCAATGTTCCAGTCCTTTTCCTAGGCCAGGCCAGCACCATGTGCTGTAGAGCTCTGCAGGGGAGTACACATCGCATCCTTCAGGATACTGAGCTAGAACTCGGTATCAGGACTCTCACAAATGACTTAAATCCCAAAGGGAATCAGTTCTTTGCATAAAAGGGACGCTTTTATTATGGCAAATATGAAGAAAAAGTAAATAGTTCCACAAACCTTTAGGAAGTTTCGGGTATTTCTTCTATAATTAAATTCATTAGCCAGTTTTGACTGATGAAATCCTTCTGCCTGCGCCAGTAAGCATCCTGAGCCTAATGCAGCTCTGGAGATAGCACAGGAGGACACAAATACTTTTCCAACCCATGCAAGTGACTGCATTTGTCACAGCCATAGCTCAGAGCCATTGGAAGAAGCGCAGTAACCATTGACCCAGGTCAATCCTGCGCGCAGGCGGGATGGGAGGGTGAATGACTGGAGTGGGGAGGCTGCAGTGGTTTTGTCCCTTGCAGATATTTCAAGAGTAGTTCATACTCAGGGTACTTGGTGTCAGTTTTGAGAGGTGTAAATGAAGGAGTTTGCCTTTGGTGTGGAACGCAAATGGTGCCGTGGTTTGGGTCTTTTGCAAGACCGCAAAATTGTTTTTACTAGAAAGAAAATATTCCCAAGCTGCCTCCGAGGAAGCGGGAGGAAAACGGCCCACCAGGAGGTCTTTCTTGCCTCGTAATGGTGATTTTGTCAGGCACCATGAAGAGCAGGGGGTGATCTCCCTGGCTGAGTAGAGGTGTGGACATGAGCCAAGGATGAGTAGCATTAGGAGCCCCACTGAAATGACCTGCTCAGCTTGAGGAGGCAGCAGTGCCCCCCTGTCCTTATGAACCCCTTTATGTTTGCTGTACTGAGTGCCTCCAAAATGCTGATATTTCTAGCATCTGCTTTTGTATTTGCAGAACATCATCAAGAAAGTGATCGGACAAAAATTTGTGTACAAGTTTGTCTCCTTTCCTGAGATTTTAAAAATGGATCCACATGCTGTGGAGATCAGCAGAGAGAGCCTTTTGCTGCAGGACAGCGACTGTAAGATGCCCTCTGAGAGCAGGGAGCAGCACAAGCACAGCTTGTCGGCGCTGAAAAGCACAAGCCGTAATGAGTATATCCACTCTGGCCTCTACTCCTCTTTCACTATCAACTCTCTGCAGAATCAGCCAGACCCTTACAAGCCAATCAAAACAGAAAAACTGGAGGAGAAGTCAGAAAGAAGCACACCAGTTGAAGAAGTGCGGACTGTTATAAGATTTGTGACAAACAAAACAGACAAACAAGTTATGAGGCCCATGGTGTCGCTGCCTTCCACTTCCGAAACAGCAGCTGCCTCTGCTTTCCTCAGCTCCTCAGTATCAGCTAAAATATCTTCCTTAATGCTACCCAACAGTGCCAGCATTTCATCTCCATCGTCGTCTTCCTCCAGGTCGCCGTCTCTGTCTCCCACCTCGCCCCTCCCTGTGGAGCACAGGAGCCTCTTCCTTGAGTCCAGCTGCCACGACTCAGATTCCCTGGAGCCTCTGAACCTCTCCTCAGGCTCCAAGGCCAAATCTCCATCTCTTCCCCCAAAGGCTAAAAAACCCAAAGGCTTGGAAATCTCTGCCCCGCCTATGGTCCTCTCCAGCACCGACATCGGTTCCATCGCCCTCAACAGCCCCGCGCTCCCGTCGGGATCCCTGACTCCAGCTTTTTTCACCGCGCAGGTGAGGCCCGCTCGTCTCCTCTACCCTTGCTTTAGCCAGCTCTCCCTCTGTGTGGCCAAGTGCTGTGTGCCTTTCCCCAAAAAAATACAATACAGGGAAAAGGGGAACATAGCAGAGGTCTGAAGGAAGGGTGCAAAGTCAGTTCGTCCCAGGGTTCCTACGTGGGTGTGGGAAGAGCCATCACAGTTAACATGAGTGAATCGCTCATCAGTTCACAGCAGCCTCCAGGTCTACACAACAAGCAGGAAAAAGCCAACAAGAAAAACATGGGGGTTTTTTAGGTCACGATGTAAACGTGTGCACTGTGGGATGCTTGGTTAGATGGCTGTACTCAATGTTGTGTTCTTTCAAACAGCGCGACCTTTGCGTTAGTTTTTGAACACAGAGCAAAATAACTGGTTTCTAAGACAAGGCTTTTAAGCCAGCTTCCATTTCCAGAACTTTACAGATCCTCAGTGCTTTCAGCACAGACCTACTGAATAATCAGCAGGTTATTTTGTTCTTTTTAATCACATACTTGTGGTACTGTCAATGGTAGGTTCTCGTTTTCAAGCAAGTCTATGAAAAAAAATCTAGTGGTTCAGAGAAAAAGAGGAAAATCCCATAGATAATGACCTGATGTGTTCATCAGTGAATTTTGTCTTATGCTACCACTGCAAAATCAGACAGAAAAATCCAAGAGTAAAATTATCCCAACGGAGAACACCCCCTAACATTCCCCCCCTCCCTGAAATACAAGTTGATGCAAACGCTAGCATCGAATGAGACAAACGGAAGAATAAAGAATAAATACAAATAAATACAATATGTGTGACAAGCTCTCATTTACTTCAGGCTGAGCAGGGGTCATGTTGCATCCAGCATCCCTGTACTTCTTCCCCAGCTTGAGGAGGTTTTGCACAGACGATGCCTGCAGCACAGCCACATTAGAGGTTTTTGGGCTGGCCATGGACAGCATTGTGTGCCCACACGGCTCAAAGGCCTGGCAGAGGGGAGAGCATCAGCGAGTGCCCCTGGCCAGCACAGCGTTTGCTCTTGTGGAGCTTTTCAGCTGGCTGCAGGGCCAGGTTGTGCAAAGCCACTGCACCTATAGGTCACCGAGATGTGAGGCTGTGTTGCAAAGACAGAGGATTTTGTGGGCCATTATCTGTCATTTTTGACATCACAAACATTTAAGCAAAGCTGTGTTTGGCAGGAAGAACAGAAGTTCTTCAAACCAAAACTGAGGTGCATTGACCGACTCTCATAATCTCTAACTGTGGTATAACCACGGTAAGTATTTGCTTGCAGGAAGCAGATCTGACAAATCGTATCAGATACCAACCATACACAATGACAGGAGGAGTTATTACAAGCTTGCTTTAATCTACTGCTGACCCAAAACTCAGCGTGAACAGAGATTTTTTTTTCCTTATTTTGTAATTATTTCTTTGAACACTTCATTTTCTCATTCATCTATAAATTGGTGTACTTACTGCCCCTGAAAGATGTAGAAGAGAATTAGGTAGGTGACTGTGGCCATCCTTTATAATGATGTCTAGCTAAGGCCATGATGATTGTTATCTGACCTAATGTCATTACAGATCTCTTTTTGCATGTTGTCCTAGCACAGAGGAGGCAGATGGCACCTGTGTAGGGTAGTTCCTGCATCTATTTATTTAAACTTTTAGCTATATAGGAACATAGCTTTTTTCGTCTCTTTTAGCTTTCTATTTCCAGTGTGTATAAGAAGCACTCTGCATCCTAAATACTTGACTATAAAATAAAAACCGTACAATAACTGTATTCAGGTAACTGTAAAACCACAATGCAAAATAACTAAAGACATAATTTAGGCTGGAAGTCTGCAGTTCATCCCGTTTTGCTAGGGAGAATGTGCATGATATCTCAAGCAATCTCTGATTTATCAGATGCTGGTGGTAGACACATGCTCCCATGGGGCAGGTGCAGAACAGGATGTTGGACACTGCTTCCTGCTCCAGAGGTGATGCGGGTTTGGGGGAGGTCCTGCAGCCTCAGAGGGTATTTCAGGTGGCTTTCCATTGTACATGCTGGTCGTGAGGAATACTTCTAATTACCTGATATCTCCATTGGTGGAGCCCTGTGGTACACACCACTGATTTCAGAACAGAAAAATGGGTGTGAAGAGGTCAGTGCATACAGTGCCAGAGAAATGTCATCTTTCCATTTGGTTAGCTTCAAAGAGAGAGATTTAAATGTTTTATTCAGTAGTTGCTTCTTTTACAGGTTACTTATGCTTGTTAAATCTGTTGGCTCTCCCTTGGCCAATGTGGATGTATAATTTTGACTCACTGATTTTCTTCAGGCCTCTGCTTCAGCATTTGTTGCATTCAAAATGCGCCCTTTCCTTACAGACAGAGCGGTGAGCCGGCACCCAGCACACGTGTGGTCTGTATTATGTCCACATTCACCATCCAGGCTCCAGCTCGTGCTCAATGCCCTGAGAGGTGACGCACATGTGACAGCACTTGTGCATTGTCTGACAGTGGGAAGTGACAAGAAATCACGGAATCACAGAATATTAGGAGTTGGAAGGGACCTCGAAAGATCATTCAGTCCAACTCCCCTGCCAGAGCAGGATCACCTAGACCAGGTCACACAGGAACGCGTCCAGGTTGGCCTTGAATGTCTCCAGAGAAGGAGACTCCACAACCTCTCTGGGCAGTCTGTGCCAGTGCTCTGTCACCCTCACAGTGAAAGAAAGACTGTACCTACACATATTTTTTGTCAGAGCAGCCAGGAGCCACGAGCATTGCTGCTTACCATAATCCTCTCTGTGCAATGAATGATTTCTATTTAAACTGTTCCTATGCTTAGATTATAATGACTTATTTGGAAGTAGGAGCTTCCCACTGGGTTCCACATCCAGTACCAGATGTGCAGCTGCACGAGGGCAGAAAATGAAGTGACACATCCATTTCTGCATGTAATTTAAGGATAGCCTGTGCTGTGGTGCTGTTTATACTTACGTTTCCTCTGGTGTTTTGATGCTTGGCTGATGGTGATACTGAGAACAAGCCTGGGAGGCCCTGTGCTCTTTTCTGCATTAAATATTAACAGATTTGAAGGCTTGCTTTGGCTCCAGCAGCACTTACAGACATTAATGCCCTGATCACCAGAGGACACGAGCTTTTGCTTAGCACTGTTGTTAGGCACATTAATGTGCTTTGAGATGAATGGAGGACAGCTCTGTTTCCAATCTCCTCTCTCTCTGAAGGCTTGCTCTGGCTATAGGTGGGAATAAACACCTCCAAGTTTTCTTCATTACTTTCAGAAGACCCCCCTCAAGAGCTGCATTTTCAGTTCTGGGTATCTGCAGCTTCTTAGATAAAAAAATAAAGAACCAAGGCATAGCTCAATGGAGCTCTTAGTACATTTGGCACAGTACTGTGTCCTCAGTCAAATGTTGTTGGCTCTTGCTGCTTACACTCTGGGTTTTAAGGGTTAGTAGGCTCTTCTGTAAGTAGATCTCTGAGTATTTATCCTGACCTAATTAGGTGTCAGTCTCGTAAATCCCTGTCGAGAGCCTTCACCGGTGGAGCATCAGCTTGTAATGTGGCACAGGAAGGTGCTCTTCTCCCGGGTGCTGCTGTTTTCTTGCCCTGTGAAAGCGCCATGGTTTTGGGAAGAGGGTGTTGGTGAAGGAGCCTGCTCATCAGTGCCTGCTTGTCAAGTGTTTTTTTCTCTGATATCTTGACAAGAGATCAGCTCAAGACAGAAATTGTCTCCTTGCCAGGCCTCCACCCATGATTTGCCCCTCTTGGTGTCATCCAAATATATCCAGACTGACCTCCTTGGTACTGCAGTGAGCGCCGTACCTGCTGTTTTACTGCATGAACACCAACCTCATGGTTCTCCCAGCGCACAGCTCTCTTCCTGTGCTTTCCCAGTGTAAGCAGCCTTTGGACATAACTGTGCTTTCTTCCACGGGGTCCCATATTTCTGATCCACCTTCTCCAGCACAAGGGAGATGGCAGCGTCCTTTCGCTTTGCATTTCTCCATGAACCCCACTTCTTTTGAGATGCCTTAGAGAAATGGGCCCCTTCAGCCAGGCTTTTTGTATTAAACAGCGTTTGGGACAGAATCCCTGGGAGGACCTTAATGTTAATAAAGTGTCCCCCCATCCCCGGTTTCAATTGCTGGATGTGGGGGCAGAGGTTACATTTTTGGCCTTGTGAGAAGCTAGTGGGTATCAGAATACATCATGTGCTGGTTACTAGCAGGAGGTACTCCATATCTTCTGTCTTCTCTTTACATATTTTGAACTCTGGGCAAGCTGGTGCCCCAGTTCAGCAGAGCACTGAGGCGCTTGTGCTACACAGCAAAACCTGTACTTACTTGCCAAGTGTGCCCTCAAATTCCACTAAGTGCTTTGCTAAATAGGACTGATTTTGATAGTTGGCATCAAGATTACTGGTGAGATTAACTCATTATGCCAAATACTTTGTTCAAAACCATCATATCACTTTCATGCTCTTTTTTGGAAAGAGAAAAGTTACTCTGGTTACAGAATAATTCATGTGGCTCTTCCTTGGAGTGGAGATTTGCATGTGCTGTAGCTCTGCTCCCCTCCAGTTGTGCTTCAGAAGCCCCGTGGCACTGGAAAGAGACACCTTTGACTTGGGAAAACCCTTGGATTCCTACTTCTTGCCATTTTTCTTCTTTTCAAGCAGTTATCTGTGCTCTCTGCAGCCCCTCTGGGCACCCAACCCCTACCCTTGCCTCTCGCCCACGCACTGCCAGCTTCTTGTGTTTTGAACAGGCGCCACCCGAGGAGTGAACTTCAAAGGGCAGCAGCAGTGGCTCTTTTGGCTCCTCATGCAATTGCATGAACGCTTCATAAGCTGCAGTCAGTGCATGCAACCGCTGCCCTTCAGAAGGTAAAAAAATTATTCTGAAGGAGCCTAAGCTGTGTTTACAGACACTGGGGCATGTGTGGTATTTTATACAGAGTGAGGTTCAAATTAACGATCACTGTGCTTCTCCCTAAGCAAATCGTGATAGAAATAAAGTCAATTTGTGTATGAAGGAATACCAAGTGTGCAGGGCTGGATGGACAGTTGCTGCTGGCCAGTGCACTCACCGTGCTGTGTGTCTGAATTCACTGGGAAAAAAGAGCCAGGGGGTGAAGTGTAAGACTTTAAGGGGTTGTGGCTGCTGTATGGAGCTCTAACTCCCATCGTGGGGTGATTTGTTTTTTTTTTGCAGACCCCAAATGGATTATTGCTGACCCCAAGCCCGCTGCTGTCCAGCATTCATTTCTGGAGCAGCCTCAGTCCTGTTGCTCCTCTGAGTCCTGCCAGGCTG